ATTACCTGCAAACCTGTGAATGAGAAAAAAAGGCCATTGCTTACTATTATATACTACTGAGATTTCTGTGTTTATTGTACAGAACATTGTGGCAATGTCAATAGCTAACTATTACAGGGGTTTACAGAGTTACAGTGTAAAGATCTACTGGGAAGAAATTAAACAAAGCCTGGCTGAGGACAGAGAGGTGTGACTTTACAAAAGAGGACAGAAAACAGAAAGGTTTAATACTTTACCAACTCCTATGGATAACAGGTTTGTGAGGCCTGACAGATTTATCTAGCTGCAAGGCTAAATGAAAGGCATTCAAGGTCTTAGACTCTACCTAAAGTAAGACCAAGAAGGAGTAGAGAAGCAAGAGAGAATGGTGACTCAGATGTCAAAAGAAAAAAGCCTTTCAAAGAGGAGGGAGATTTGGCAATGCCAATGATAAATCAAGTAAAATGATGACAAAGATTTGGCTGTTGGATCTAACAATATGGCAGTCATTAGTCACCTTCACCAAAGGGAAAAACACTTAAAGAGTAAGAGAGATGGAGTAGTAGCTTCAAGAGAGAATGGGGGAAAGAAATTTGATATAATGAGTAAAATCAACTCTTTCTAAATATGTTGTTATGAAGGGGATCAGAAAAAGGGAACAAGAACTAGAGGGAAATGTGGGTTCAAGAAAGAGTTGTTTTTTTTTTTTTAAGATGGGAAATGTAACATCTTTGTGTCCCTATAAAGATGATGCAATTGAGAGGGGGGAAAATGCATAGTATTTTAAGGGGAGGATCCAGTGTACAAGTAGAGGACTCAGCCTTAGGGATAAACCTAAAAAGTTCATTTAAAGCACCAGGAAGGAAGGCAGATACACATCCACTGGCAAATGTGGTGGTTCAAATATGTAATAGCTTCTATTTTCTCAGTTAAGTAAAAGCAAAGTCAAGATCACAGAGAAATAACAGGGAGGAAAGAGTTAAAGTTTGGGGAAGAAAGGAAAAATTTTAAATAATTATCTAGGAAACAAGGAGAGTGAGTGGATTATTAAAATGTAATCTATCCATTTAGGCACACATTTCTCCTGCCACTATAAGCACTTAGAGAACAAAAATGGTACCTTACTCAGCTTTATATCTTAACAGCTCCTAGTACGGGAACTTGTACTCTTTGTTATTAATTTTCTATAATTTTACTTTCATTTCCTTTAATATTAAAATAAAATCCAGTTGACTTAGTATTTTGTAAGTCCTTAACTTTTTAAATTTTAATAAGAGAAGCTTGCAAGAAATACAATTAAAGAACTAGCATAAAAAGAGTCCATAGTCTTTGGAGTTACTACCCACTTACTCAAATCAGGTTTGAAATCCATAAAAATGATTACTAATTTCAAGAGACTCTTGCCAGTTAAAACTCATTTTCTTAATATCTGAATATGACAGATTCTCTTTATTAAGAAATCATTTAGGATTAAAGGGTTTATACATAAATATAATTTGAAATTCACCTAAGCTGGAATTAAGTTGTTTTTCTCACTAGTTCAAATATGTGTTATAATTCAAAACTGCTCGGAGATAAATGAAGCAGAAACCAAAACTTCTACAGAAAATACTAACACAAATTATGCATCTTAAAACATTTGTAATTACAAGGAAAAGGCAAGATCTTCCAGAGCCATCTCTAAATTTTAAAGAATTATTCATAATGACTTGAATGTAATTAAAGTCTAATAGTGTATTGCTGTGATTTACCAAATGGGATTATTTTTAATACTGGTAACTTCCAACTTGTTAGCTAGAGCAATTTAATGAATATTAAAGTCATTCAAACAGTTCAAGGTTACTGTCTGGTATTCTTCACTCTCAGACAGTGAGATATCAAAAAATACCATCTTCAAATTTGATAATAAAATATTTTGCAGTGAATCTGATGGGCCAACTTGGTGATAATTCATTTGAATCACATAATAAAATTAAACACTGACCCAAAAAAAGGCAATTAAACAAAAGGAAAACATGTTTTCTATGAACAAAGCAATAATAACAAAAAAACATCAACTAAGGCTAACTAAATGCTGAAAGATTCAACTCATCGAAATATATTTTAGAATATGCTGTCAGCTCTACTTCTAGAAAACCTTCAAGATGAAATCATAGAGTGAGCATCAGGTACCAGCCTTGATGCTTCTGATTAAGTTCATAGTGGTCTAAACATACTGTGCCCCTTTCACCTGATATGTGTAGTAACAAACCCAAATGCTATATGAGCAAAGTAGAAAATCTAAAGGAATGAATCTGGCAATGATGGTAGAGAAAGGTTGGGACCTTAGGAGGTATACAGCCCATCTAAAAGCATTCAAATTCAATATCTTAAAACACTCTTTTGACCACATAAAATGCACATCTGCAAGCTAAGTTATATCTAAATTCAAAATCCTAAAGACCTTCAAGGTCCTCTTCAAATATCACTCTATCAATGTCTCTTCAAGTTCTCCATATTACAATCCATATTTTCTTCACTGCTATGTCCTTAGCACTTTGCCCTACTATTTATTTTAATATGTCATGTATAGCAGTTATTCTTGCAAGTTTCTGTGTCCTCCACTAAGTTTTGGGCAGAGATCTTACTTATCTTCAATTCTCCAAAAGCACAAAATACAGTAAGTAGTATTTTGCATAATAAAAGATGTACCATATACATATAAAATTGAATCCAGACTCTTTCTCTTCTGGCCATGTCATCTAGTACAAAATATGAAAACATTTTGGCCATGGACATGAAGTGTGTGACTGATCTCAGTCATCGTAAAGTCCTTGGTTATAAAGTACTCTGAGCCACCAAATTTAAAATATTCCAGAAGTGTTATCAAAGCAGTAATTCTAGATTAAAGAAATTCAACATAAAGAAAATAAATATCTAGCCTATCATTAAACATACTTCTAGAGAAAGTATGTTTACATACTTCTAGAGAAAGTATATTTACAATAGTAAATATGTATCTCATTTCAATACCCCTTTGAGGGGAAAGTTGTTGCTTTTTTTAATATGAAGGCTACAAAAATTCTTGTGCTGATTTTCAAGACTGCTAAAGTAGAATAAATTAAAAAATTAAGAAAACATTTTATAAGGGCACCTGAGTGGCTCAGTCAGTTAAGTATCCGACTTTGGCTCAGGTCATGATCTCACAGTTCGTGAGATCAAGTCCTGCATTGGGCTCTCTAATGTCAGCATGGAGGCTGCTTTAGATCCCCTGGCCCCCTCTCTCTCTGCCCCTACCCCCATTCTCAAAAATAAACAAACATCTTTTTAAAAAGGTTTTATAAATCTCTAAATAACTAAATAATACAGGCAAAGCTCTCATTAAAAGTCTGTTTTAGGGTGCCAGCCTTAAATGTAGGATTGGAAGGCCTATTATTTTTAAAACTTCAATGAAAAATCCCCCAGAGACACAGGATTCAACCTCTAAACAATTCCTAGGAAAAGTAACCCCACAGTTGTGAACACTAATTCCACTTGGAATGTTACAAACCTGGCTGCATTTGTTCCCTCTGGGTATTCACACCCCTTTTACAATTCACACCCCCTTGTAATTGAGAGGTACAATCTCTTTTCCCAACCCTTGAATCTCAGCTGCCTTTTTGAACTGTTGGTCAATCAAACACTGCAGAAAAGATAGTAAGTATGCTTGCTCCCAGTCTAGACCTCAAGAGACCTTGTATACTCCTGTTCCCTCCCTCCTTCCTTCCTTCTCTCATGTGTACACATGCATGCACATAGAACCATATTACTGTTATGTTCCCTGTCATGAACAAGCCCAAGGCAGCCTGCTGGATCATGAAAGACACAAGGCAGCCTCACTATTACCCCAGGCAACATCCTATAACAGAGCTACTCAAATGACCTATAATTGACCCCAGACACATGAGAGAACCCAGCCAAAACAGAGCTACCTACCAAGGCTCAGACTAAATCACCAACCACAGAATTACGAGCTAAATGAGTAGTCATTATGTTAAGCCATTAAGTTTCAAGAGACTTTGTTATACAGCAATAGCATACTAATACACAGGGAAGAAGACACAATCTGACAGGAACCAAAAGGGTCTCTGGAAGATAAAAATGCTGCCACTCACTGACTTGGGAGACAAAAAAAAACAAAAAAAACCCACAAAAAAAACAGTAGTAAAATGAAAAAATGGCTAAAGAAAAAAGAAGCTAACCTTGGAATTGGAGTTAACTTGAAACAGATAATAAAAGTAGGTTGCCCTTAAAAAAAAAAAAAAGTAGGTTGCTCTTTCCTTGTGGAGAAATAAAACCTACCCAAATGTTACCCATGCTTCAAAGCTCAAATCACAACTCTCCAATAAAATTCTTTCTGATTGCCCTAGGCAGAGTGATCATTCCTTCATTAATCATGTATAGACAGCACACTACTGAGGCCTGGACTTTAATCAGTAAATATAAATTCATATTGTAGGTTTATCAGCTATGCATCCTTAGGCAAGCTTCTTAAGTCTTTGAATCTGATTCCTCATCTCTTAACTGTTACTTAATAGTTCTCAATCCCACGGGGGGGGGCTGTGAAAAAAGGGATTCTAAATGTGTCAACATATTAAACACAACATACATACTCAAAAATGTTAAATTGAATTTTGAGTGATTCATTCATTCATTCACTCAACTTTGTATTCTCAACTTTGTAGTGTGTGTCAGGCTATGTGCTAGACACTGGGAAAAAAAGGAAACAATTACTAATGATACCACACACAACTGCCTTCTAGTAATAATTTTTCACTCCTATAGCCCTAAACTTAGAATGAGGTTAGAAATTACTCCTTATATCTCTTCATATTTCCCAACAGTATGTGGCACAGTGTACTGAATGTAGTAGTTACAAAAATATTTCTGGACAATTTAATTTTTAAAAATGATAAGATTTCTACATACAACTTTTAACATCTGCATCTCAAAGCAAAGCAAGAGCATCATCACTTTCAATGCAAAGCTAAAAGGAGACTCACTTGACAGCTCACATCCATCCCTGCTTCCAATAGCACCTGAACAACTGCTTTGTGACCATTCCGAGCAGCAAGGTGTAGTGGCGTGTGCTTTCTAGTGTTGCAGCTCATTAAGTTAGGGTGTGCACTGATGATCATTTTGACCACCCTAAGTCGTCCATAGAGTGCTGCCAGGTCCAAAGGTGTTTCTAGCTTACTGTTCCTGATGGTAGGATCGGTGAGCTCTTCTAGGAGAACAGCAACTACTTCTGAGTGTCCATATTGAGCTGCACAGTGTAGCGCAGTTTCATTTTCATTGTTCTGTTAAGACAAAGATGTAAGATTAGGATTTTCAGAAATTCAGTTACCAAAATCTAAACAGTAATTTAAAACCAAAGATACTTTGAAAATGCAAGTTTATGACTTATCTATTTTAATAAGTATGCCTAATAGAATATCTGATAAAAAGGATCTATCATTTATTGCATTAAAAAAACACAATTTTAATCATTTTAAGAGGAAAAGTCAAATTTTTCCCTATATTATATATTTCAATTTTCAAGAGCGATAAATGATTTAGCCATGTTAGTCAGTGGCCCTGCTGGGCCCAGATGGTCAGTGTTATCTGTACTATGCATCATACCTCCATGACATTTGTTAATGAGAGAGAGTAATAAGAATTATAACATACTTTTAACAGACTGGCTTTCCAAAAGGCACTTGAAATGGTAAATTCTTGATAATGAAAGAGTTACGGAATGATTTCCCAAATTAAGTTTCATTTTATTTTCCATGTAAGTACAAATTATTGCTCCTTTAGCAAAAAGAGAATGAAGACATACTGGCCCTCAGATTAAACAGCATCATTCTGAAATGTAATTATGGATTGAGAGACAGACTGAGACCCATTGCCAGACAATCTACAAGAAGTATCATAGTATTACATATACACCTAATAAGGGTTCCAATGGAAAATCAAGAAGATTTTCCTAGAAGTTTAGCAAGATAAAAAGTGTACCTGGATAGATCTAGAGCATATAATGCTAAGTGAAATAAGACAAAGAAAGACAAACACCATGTGATTTTACTCATATGTGGAATTTAAGAAAGAAATGAACAAAGGAGAAAAAAAAAGAAGCAAACCAAAAAACAGACTCTTAACTATAGAGAACAAACAGATGGTTACGAGAGGGGAGCGGGGTAGAGGGATGGGTGAAATAGGTGAAGGGGATTAAGAGTACACTTATCTTGGGGTGCCTGGGTGGCTCAGTGGGTTAAGTGTCCAACTCTTGGTTTTGGCTCAGGTCATGATTTCAAGGCTTCGTGGGTTCAAGCCCAGCATTGGGTTCTGTGCTGGCAATGCGGAGCCTGCTTAGGATTCTCTCTCTCCCTCTCTCTCTGCCCCTCCCACATTCATGCTGTCTCTGCCTCTCTCAAAAATAAACTTGAAAAAAAACTATTTAAAAAAAAAAGAGTACACTTATCTAGATGAGCACTGAGTTATAAATTGAGTTACTGAATCACTATAATGTACACCTGAAACAAATATAACACAGTATATTAACTATGCTGGAATTAAAATTTACTAAACCACTCATAAGGTAGATGGATGTTTCAGTACATTTAGGCAAATGGTGTAGATAGATGGTATATGACTATGTCAGGAGGTAGAAGCGTTAGTCAGGAAAAATGTAAACAAGAAATTTTAATAGCAAAAATGCAATGATCCTGAATGAGGGTTTGAGAAAGGGGCTGCCACCATCAGAGTCATCATCATAACTAACACTATGTACCAGGCACAGTTGCATTCCATAGATGTTTACTCATTTACAAGTTACATTTACGTTTACCTCACTGTGAGATAGAGACGAATATTATCATTATTGCCATTTTATATATGAGGAACTGAGGCACTGAGTAGTTAAATAACTTGCCCTCAAATATACAGCCTTTTAGTGTTGGGGCCAGGATCTGAACATAGGTAGCCTAGACCCAAAGTCAGTGCTCTTAAAACCATCTTCCACAATAACAACTATTACTACTGTCATTTGCTGAATGCGTATATACATTGGTTCATTTCTCCTACACCACACTGCCTGCCAAGTATTGTTATATTGTCAAAGAAGAAAGGAAATTAGTGATCTGAAAGCAGAATTTCTATAGATTTTGCTGAAAAGAACCCTGAGTTGTAATAGGAAGTAAATACTCAGATATATGCTCTGACCATATGAATAAAAGAGTAAGTAGGGTTCAAACCGGAACAAATCTTAATGTCCCTAAAAGTAACTCAGACTTGCTCTGGCCGATGAATGCAGATAAAGTGAGAATAAAGAGTTGAAAGCAGAGGAAGGATTTGAAAACTTAAAGACAGAGTAGCAAAAAAATTTTTAAATGAGCACTACGAAAGGCTTCTTACTACTTACCTTCCAAATAAAAGTATCAGAAGAGGGCATTTGAAGACCAAAGAATAAGGCCCAGAAAAAAACCTACTCCCTGAAGGCAGTCACCAAAAAGTTAAGATCTGATGGATGGGAATCCAGCTGGAGGCATTATTTCTTCCATCATTTTGGAGGCAGTCATTCCCGTTCTTAGTTTGAATGTATTGCTACAGTCTACTTCCTCATAGAGACTGACCAGATACAGGTCTACATTCCCTGTTTATCTGGCTAAGTTGTAGAAGCCTGATAAGAAAATCAATTTTACTACTCTACACCATAAAAATATGATCTAGATATATGCCTTCTGACCAAATAAAATTTGCCCTTGGTTGGAAAGAAATTCAATTTTCAAAACGGCACCTCTTTGAGAAAAAAAAATGGCAATTATGAAATAATCATTCCTCAAAGACCTCTCTACTTTTGCAGAGGCCTTAGCATAGGATATTATAAGTGCAAAATTGAAACTTTGTCTATTAACACCAATTATCATTGTTCAGAAGTCAAAAAAAAATTATTTCAACCATGCCAGACTTACTCAGAAGAAAATACTCATAGAATTTATCCATGAGCAATACATATTTGTATTGTCACATGAGAAAGACCACAACTGTGTTATCTTTATAAGAGGCATGATTGTATACTTGTATCCATACTAACAAGTGATCTAAAAGAATCTAATTTCAAATAAACAGACTCTGAAGAAGAACTGATTGCTAGTAGATCTACAATGAACATTCTTGAACAGTTAATCCCTACTTCTTCTTCTTCTTCTTCTTCTTCTTCTTCTTTTTTTTTTTTTTTTTTTTTTAGCCAAATGGGTGTTCTCCAAAACTATAGGACACTTCTAGACAATGGGTGGTAGGAAAAAAACAGCTAACAAAAGCTATTTTCCAAAACATCTTGCTTTGGAAAGTAAAACCAATGGAAACTAACACTAGTTAGGTTTGAATTTTGGTAAATGGCAAGAGAATATACTTATGAGCTAGGCTCTTCATGTTTTTGCCCTAATGTTGGAGGAAAGAGGTAAAAGGGGGGGAAGAGATGAATATACAGAGAAATATAAATTGTAAACATGCATGACATCAGAAAAAAGGAAATAATAAATCAGCTGACAAAAGATGGGAAGGATGTATCAATTATAAAAATGATAATCGGGGCAAGGTCTACTTTGTTTTCAAAATTATGTTGCCCTAAACTGACCACTAATTTTAGAGCAGTATAAAATGGTGACCTAGGTTGAAGTGCTAATAACCCCCACACTTACAAGCAATAGTAAACCACTCAATCTCTCTGAACCTATCTTATCTGTAAAATTAGAGTATTATCCTCTCTATAAACCTTAGGGTATAGGAAAATGCTTTGTAAACTTTAAATATCAATATATAAGACAGAATTATTTTTAAAGAAAGGTGTATTAGAAACCAAAGACTACCTTCAGAAATCAGAATGAAGCCCTGACAATTACACATAATTTACTATAATAATACGGAGTATTATTGGCTAAGAGCTTGAGTTTTGCGTCGGAAAAACCTGCCTTCAAATACTAACTGCATTTCTTGGGGTGCTTGGGTGGCTCTGTCAGTCAAGCTCCGACTTCAGTTCAAGTCATGATCTCACAGCTCTTGAGTTTGAGCCCGCATTGGGCTCTGTGCTGACAGCTCAGAGCCTAGAGCCTCTTCTGATTCTGTGTCCCCATCTCTCTCTGTCCCTCCCCTGCTCATGCTCGCTCTCTCTCTCTCCCCTCCCCTCTTCCCCCCCTCATTCTCTCTCTCTCTAAAATAAATAAACATTTAAAAAAATATCAAAAAAAAAAAAAAAAAACTAATGACAACTGCATTTCTTAGAAGATGTGATATCATGGGCAAGTTATTTAATCTCTCCAAGGTAGCTTCCCACATATAAAATAAGAACAATATTTAATCCCTACTTCATCAGGCTACAGTAGAGCTTAGTAAGATAACATAGATGAAGTACTTTGCACATCACCTGGCATATAGTAAATACTCCATAAGCAACGGATTTACAATGACAATACCAATGTGCTATTGTGGAGGGCTCTGGAATTAGAGTCCAAGTCTGACTGTTAGTAATTCAGTAATGTGTGCCCTTAGATGAGTTATGTAACTTTACTGAGCCTAATTTCTCACCTATAAAATGGGAGTAATAATATCACTTCAGAGGTTGTGAGAATTAACTAAATAACATATTATAGGTGAAAGTGCTTAGCATAACCTGGCTATCTTACGTCTCAGTATATGTTAATTACCATTTTCATTCTTTCCCTCTATTGCTTAAATACATAAAGGTTTATAAGTAACTAGTATATTTCTGTCCTATTCAGAGGGGGAAATAAATAAACCTAAAATGAAAAGTTGCTATGAAAATAAAATTCCCACATCAGAAACTTTAGGAGAAATGACACTGAATGATAGAAATAGGCCAGTGCTAAAGGAGTACCATATAAAAAACAAACAAATATTAAAACAAGGTATTAAAAATCACAAGAAATTTTCAATTTGTTTCCCGTAGAAACCACAAGACAAAACAACTTTCAAATATAAATTAATTCTAAGTGTTTTTTTTTATTTTCATGTCATTTAAAAAATATTTTGCTTGTAAAAACTAGCATCCTCTTTTTTAACCTTGGATGGTTTTTGCATCTTATTATTTCAGGTTCACTTTGGGGCATTCAGACAGTTTTAAGAATAACCACCAGATGGCTCATCCCACAAATGATCTTTTCACTTTTGATTTTCTGACAAACATAACAGCATTCCCAAAAATTTCCCTTCAGCATGATATGCTGATAAAGATAGACATATCTCTCATTTTTTAAATATTGAATTTA